TAGGGTTTTGGGGTTCAGGGTGTAACGGCCTGGGCTTGTGCAGGCTCTGCGTTTTTGGAATCGACATCGTTTAGCAGGCTAAACCCAAACTCCGAAGCCTAAACCCCGCGCTGCCCTAAACCCTAAACCCTAAACCACAAAAAGTGCTGCCGTCAGGTGTTTCTTCTGTATTCCGTGTCCTCCAAACTTTGCGTGCCAGCAGTCCGGTGTCTTGGTTGCAAGAACCCTAAACCCTTAGCCCCAAAATCTTAAACCCAGAACCCTAAACCCCAAAACCCCTTAAGCCCTAAACCCCTAAGACAGGCGGTGCTCGGGACCAGGGCCGAGAAACCCTGAAGCAGAGAATAGGTAGTACTATTATGGAGACCCCTTAAAGGGTACCCCTTCTGAACCCTACTTCTGGCTCTCTTAAAAGGGGCCTTATTGAGAGGGTCTATATCCTCAAGGGTCCCCCTAATCCTAACTCCCAGAGAAGAGCTTCTAGGACCTAGAGTAGGCCCTTATTCCCTTTTTCAGGGTTCAGGTTCCCTTTAAAACCCCTTTAAACCAAAAAGGGCACCCTCTTTATTCCTAGGCTATTCTTGAGTCTAGGCTTTGGGATCCTGAGACTCGAGAGCCGCCGAGGCAAATCCGTCATATCTATGACGAGTTTCAGGTCGCCATCTATGGCCAGGCCCGGCCAATAAAGGTTTTAGGGTATAGGGTTTAGGGTTTAGGGGATTTAGAGACTCCAATATCCCTTAATTAAGGAATATACCTTAAATTATACTAGGATCCCTGATATGATTTGAGGTATATTCCTTCCGGCCAATGAGGGTTTAGGGTGTAGGGTTCAGGTTGCTTTAGGTGTTTAGAGTTTAGGGGTCTTTGATTTGGTTGTTTTTAAAGACGAAGAAGTATACTATGAACATACTCCACGATACTACCAGAACTAGGATGTCACTTCAGAATTTTGTTTTTCAGAGCAGGGCCCTAGTGATAACCTGAACCAGAGGCTCCATAGTAGTTCCTTTTTGGATTACCTTATAGGATTCTGAATATGAACCACAAAAGGGAACGACTATGGAGCCTATGGGTACTTAATACTAACTCTGCCTTCAGCAGTTCCTGCTTCGCAGAACACGTACATCACCGGCAATGGATTCCACCGGGGCATGAAGGGAGCGGAGCCCAACATGACAGGTGCAGCTTTCAGTTCGGATTGGGGTTAGGGCTTAGGGCCTGGGGGTTCGTAGGGTTTGCAAGGGTTTGCGGGCGTGGGGTTAGGATCTAGGATTGTGCTAATTGGCGTTTAGAGTGTGGTTGGGCTTCACTCAGGCCATAAGCTTCACCAGACCTCGTCATGTTTGTAATTAGTGTAATTCTCTTGTACACGTAAGGGTTTAGGGTTGAAGTGTTCAGGGTTTGGGGGTAAGCCTGTCAATGTCTGTGGTCTACAGGACGACGAAAGAGAGCACGCTCAAAGTTGCTTGGTTCGCTCAAATCCAAGGTACACAGTACCTGCGCACGAGGGTCGATTAATCTTTGGGCCAGAGTACACCCAAACTGCAATTACAACCTCTAAACCCTACCTGGATCCCATATCACCTACTTCTTAAGGACTTTCACAAGGAGGTCATAATAGGGAACCCTAAAACGGCAGGTTATATAGGGTCCAGGTAGACTCTGGATTCAGGGTCTTGGATCGGATCAAGACCGCAACTTTACGGTTTTGGTTTTGGTTGATGCTTGGAGGCTGTAGCTGCAGGTGTTCTTCCGGTTGAGGGATGTTTTTTTCTGCAAATACTGCTTGAGCGGCTTGGGGTTTGGGTTGTGGCGATCAGTGCGGTGTGGTTTCACATGATTAGATGTTGTCATTGTCTGGTCTGTCATGGTTGATTACTGTTGCTATTATTGGTGTTGGTCTTTCTCTGTCATCTTAAGTTATCTTTTTGATATTGGTTAATTATGGGGCTTAAGGACCTTCCTCACATCGCCGATGCTGCCGAACTTTCTTGATGTTATACTTGAGCAGGCTTCAACTCCTTATCGATTGACAAGAAGGTTGAGATCTGCAGCGCGCCTTCGCTACAAGTAGAAAGCTCTCGGTTTGGACATTGAAATCTTGTCTTTCACCCTGCGCCCTCTAAGCCCTTTCTCGGCCTGAGCTCCAAACTCTTTTCCTAAGCCTCTAAATGTTTTAACGGAATCCGATAAGGGCTCCTTTAAGGGATCCTAGAATACGCGACATGAAGGGTTTAGGGATTTAGGTCTAGCCTAAGCTCGACAGTCCATAGCCCCAGCTTCAAAAGCCCATACGCCCTGAACTCGAGGCTCTCACACCCGACACCTCCGGCGCTTCTTTATGAATGTGAGGGTTTCTCTGGAACGTCGCGGGTTCGAGCTTTTCAGGCCTATTCTAAGTGTTAATGCCCCTATACTGCTTAGAAGCACAGCACCTATAGATCCCTTAAGGGAACCCTTAAAGGAAACCCTATAGATCCCTTAAAGGAACCTTTAAGGGAACCCCCAACCTCCGTTCCAGATACGAAGCCTTCTCAGAGGTGCCGCTGTCTCAGCCATACTTCACCTACACCATCCTGCTCATCTGGACCATGACGCGCCACGGCCCTCGAACAGAGCTCCCACCCTCAAATGCCTGTTATGAAATATATAACTGTGCCCCAGAGCTACAACTTAGAATTCCTCCGTTAGGCCGAAGCCGTCTAGAGGGAACGTGTTCGCGAGCTGGAGCACGGCATCAGCCCAGCGTTTAGAATTTCAGTCACCATATAGGCCTTCCTATCCACAGCATTTGGGCTACATCAGGGCTGGGGACTGTGCATATTTACAAGTATATCTCGGAGCCCGCAAAACTCAAACTTGACGCAGTGAAGTCAATTGCTGCAGCTCCAGGCCTTCATGGCTCGGCACTGGGGTTCAATAACTACCCAAAGGGTCCTACTCGTATGTACCGATATAGTAGAATCCCCCACAACAGTACATAGGACCCTTTGGGCTAGGCTTCTAGGCCGGCCCCTGTATTGGCGTGCTTTAAAGAATTCAAGGCTCTTCGGCTCGTCGGGTTTGGGTTTTGAGTTTGAGGGGCTTCATCCTGGCCTAGCAGCAGGCTTAGAGAATGGGTTTCGGGCGGGGCGAGTTAGATTGCAGAATTTTGCGTAGACTCTAAGCCCCATTGCCCTCACCTTAAAACCGAACCCAAAACCCTAAACCCGAATTAGTACGTCCGCAGAACTGTTGACTTTCAGGCCTTTGCATCCGCCTGAGAGTCTTTCCCAAGCATCGAGACGACCATGAACCCTAAAGCCCGAACTTATAAGCCCTGTAGAGGAATCCTTTAACCCAAAGGGTCCTATGCACCGATATAGTAGAATGTAGGGTTTCCATATTAGGAATTACTATTATGCCTTAGGGAAGCATCCCCCAGAACAGTACATAGGACCCATTGAGCAACGGTTCCTTTAATGAGTCTCTTCAAGGGTCTCCCAGGTGCCTCGCGGAAATTCGGCGGGCTGTCAAGCTGCTGTTCACCACGCTTGTCAATGTTCCGACGGTGCCTTCACTGAGATGAGTGTTTGTAATCCATGCACTGTTTCATGGTGTTTGCTCCTGTATCCATTTGCACATATGTGTATATGATATGTGCACACACACACCTATCTCTCGGCCTACCTATCTATCGCTCGATCTAGCTATACTATATACACATTCATGCATGCAAGTATGCATGTAAGGATGTATATCAACGAATCCGTATTTGCGGTACTAAAGTATTACATATACATATATGGTCAATTGCATATGTATATATGTACATGTACATGTACAAATGCACAAACGTGGGCAGCGGTTCTTCTATAGGCAGGGTTGGATCAGGTCAAGAGGGTGGAGCACGTCTTGGACGCCGCTTCGACAGCTCTGGTGCGCTTTCGGTGATTTTGCCTGAGTTGTGCTTGGGGGGTTTTGGTTTATCTAGGGCTGCGTTAAATACAACCTAAGCCCTACTTGTTGCAGGGTTTCTGATTACGGTGTTTAGGCTTGAGGTCAAAACGTCAAGTTGAAGGTTAGTGTCTACGATTCTGGATGCAAGTTTGGGGTTCAGGTTTCCGACGCTGGTTTGGATTCACTTCGATTGAAGCTAGGGTTTCCAAGAGAGCCCGCCAAATTCATGTAAGCGCACGAGGAGTGGCAGCGTCAATAGTGCGATCACAAGAGCGGCGCCGATAGCAGGTAATTGGCTACACTCACACCCTAAACCCTGAACCCTAGACCCTAAACCCTAAACCCCTCCTGAAAGGAACAGTCCTCCTAACATGTCTTTGCCCGAAAACTCAGGACAAGACCATCGTCGGGTACACGAGAGGCGCTTTACGCATCTGGGAGACTGATGATCTTACTACAAGGGATCTACAAGGGTACTATAATATAGGGGCCTTAATAATCCTATGACTTACCTTCGGTTAGTAGGGAAGGGAGGAATGGGGCACAAGTATAACTACTATTACTACCATTCTTCCATTCCCTACTAACCAAAGGTAAGCTGGGAGGCTGACGATGTTTCAAGTGGTGGGCCGGTTTCAGGGAACATGGGCACTGGCAGGCCCTCTCTAACAAGAGATCCCGAGCACTGAACCGTAAACTCCTCAACCTTTTTAGCCTGCATCCCCATAAGGATGTAAAACCAGAGAACCCAGCTCCTTCTGGGCTTCAACCAACGTCGTCCAGGGGTTCTCGACGTGCCGAGGCCTGAAAGCCTGCAAGCTTGGATCCATGATCCCTGGATCCCCCAGCTCGGTTTATGGGGTTTTGACGATCTGTATCGGGACATGGTAGTTTCCGAAATTAGGGGTACCTTATTCTGGGGTCCTTATTTTGCTGGATCCAACTTTTCAGGGTATTATATCAGGGTTCACTATTTTCGGAAATTCCCGTATGGTTGAGGGATGATTAGGGTTTTGCTTTCTCATTTTGTGTTTTCTCTTTTCTTTTTTCCTGCAGGC